TATATATATATATATATATATATATATATATATATATATATATATATATATTTCTCTTCACAATATGGATCTTTAATTATTTGATTTCAAATTTATAAATGCATTCATTTTTTATATTCTTTCTTTTCCAGATATTGAATCGCACCAAATCTATGGTATCTGAACATCTCCGTCCTGCGGTAAAAACTTTTACCGATTTAAAACGGGAAACCAAACAAAGACTAAGGATTATGACTCTACTTACATATTATAAGGTCCACTACCTACGTATCTACAGCTGGCAACAAGCCGACAGAGTCATGTCAACTGAAACTGGTATCAATATTTTAAAGACTGTTGATAACACTACTGATTTTGCTGAAGTTATGTTGAACAAGTATTTACCTCCATCGGAGGAAGAGATTCATACAGATACAGGTAATGTTATATACTAATTGTTACAAATAGAAATTTAACATAACAAAATTAAAAATACTACTTAGTAACTTTTTTGTTTTGTCTCTAAAATGGAATACATAAGAAAATATGGAAATATAAGAAAAGTAGCTTTAAACAAATATTATTATTTATGCAAATTATGCAATAGCTGAATAAGATTCTCTTTCTTAAATGCAAGTCAACGTACATCATAATCGTACATAATAGACATAAAATTATGCAATAAAATTACCGCACTTTAATTAAGCCAGTAAATATTTTTCCTTTAATAATACTAATTATTTATATTTCTAGAGCGATTATGTAGTGAACACGTTAAGCTGCATCATACGATGGAAAGATTGAGCGAATTCAGTACTCGAGCATACAGACGTATTTATTACGCATTAATGGAGAGATTGCAGCACATGTATAAGATAGAAATACTTATTTTGGTATTACATGTTCTTGTGGTCATTCAGGCGATCAAGTTTTTGGAATCGGTAGTGAGTTTAATTTTTAAATTGTTTAGTGACTGCCTCTTTTCGCCTTAGAAATAATTTCTAGTCCGTTTTATAATTGTGTATGCAATAGCACTTAAGAAATCAGACTATTTTTATTACTTTTACACGAAATTATTCCCGAGT